GCAGGAGGAGCCATCCACGTTTAAGGAAAGAAGGGAGCGCTTAAATCCCCACAAAACCTCCTCTGCTGTCGCATCGCTTCATCCCAGGGGCCCTGCCCTTGGTGACAACTCCCCTGGGGCCGTGGCCAGGACACGGCCCCCGGCCCAGGCAGACCCCTCAGGGGTGCAAAGTGCTTCCACGCAACCCCCCCCACCCCCCCCGGAGAGCCGTGTGCGGAGGGGAAGAGCAGGCGGAGGATTAACCAGGTTGACCAAGATTATTACTGTAATTATATTATCATTTCGGTGTATCACCGTCATCATGGTTATTAATAGCCTTAATAATAGCAAAGGCAATTATAGCAATAACAACAATACCGATTGCAATATTGCTATTACCCATCGCAGTAATGATACTCCTCGTAGTAAGATCCCGAGTAGGGTGCGGGAACCCGACAGGAGGCTCTGGGCTCCCCAAGGCGCCAGGTCAGCCTTATTTATTTCCATAACGACAAATTAGGCACAATCATTATTCCAGTCTGTGTGAGACAATTTAATTCTAGGTCACGCTTGCGCTCTTAATGAAAGCCTTGGCGAAGCCTTCCCTCAATCCATTTTCCTTCTCCCCAGCTGATACCAGTCCCCGTCTACCCGTGTGCGCCGAAGAATTTGCTCCATCCATCAGGTCTTAGCGAGCTGTCAGGGGGATCGGGCTGTTTGGCTGGTGCCGGAGTTATGGGGCAGGCGGCAGCACGGCCGTGGGTCCGGTGGGGATGGAGGTCTCCTCGCTGGCCCCCCAGCCCCTCCTGCCCATCCCCAGGCAGGGATGCTCTCCGGCCCCTCGGGTTTTTCCCCAACCCTTTGCTTCCCCGGGGCAGAGCAAAGGCTGTGGAGCAGCTCATGGTGCACATCCAGGGGCACGGCAAGATGGGAGGAACCCTCTCACCCCAAAACTGGCGGGGAAAGAAGGAAGGCGGGACAAAGCGAAGCACCAAAACAGCCTCACCTGGGACTAAACCCCAGCTCTCCTTCCTCTCCCCAACACAAGAGACAGAGAAGGACCATCTCCCACCCCAGGCGTGCGGGGCACGGGCTGGGCAGCGCTGATAGCTGCCTCCTTCCTGCCTCCGCTCTCCCTGCACCACGAGCTGGGAGCCCAGATTGCCAGATTGAGCCTCCAACACGTGTGTGTGGATGCACCCCTACGTCTGCGTTTCTTGGAGGCACTTAGCTTCACAAATCAACCCACTGGTCCAACCCAAAGCCATCCAATTCACCCCAAAGTGGATTTACTTCCAACTAGCAACATCTGCCACATCAAGGTTGGGGTTTTTTTAAGAGAGGAAAAAGGGGGAGAACAAGGTGCAAGCAGGTCAACAGGATCACAAGCCATGAGGTCCACCTCCAGCCCCGCGCCGATCCCCCGCCACTTACCCTTGCTCCTCCATCATCTCCTGCAGCTCCATGCACTTCAGCTCCACCCGCCGCTTGCGCTCGTGGTCCAGGATTTCCCGGTGAGCCTTCTTCACCAGGTTGGGCTCCACCAGACGCACCTCCTCCTCGCCTTTGTGCCACGTACCCGAGGCGCCGGGCTGTGAGAAGCCGTTGGATGCTTCCTGGGGCGAAGGCACGTCGGCCCCGTTGTTGTAGAGAGCCATGATGGTGTGGGTGGCCTCGCCGCCAGCAGCACCTGGGAGGGAGAGAAATATTCGGGGGTCAGTCCCTGCCCTGGTTTCCCTCTCACCCCGTGACAGCGAGGGGACCCCGCCAGGACCTGAAGGCTAAGTTTGTCTCAACAGAGGTGAGGGCACAGCAGGTTGATGGGAACGGCGATGGAGAGATCTGGGTTGGGCCAGGAGAGAGATGGTTGATCTTCTGCCAGGAAGATCAGCGATGGAGAGATCTTCCTCCATCCAGCAATGGAGAGATCTTCTGCCATGGCCCTTCCTGCCCCTTGCCTCAGTTTCCCCACCTGCAAAGCCAGGCTGGGGCTATTCCCATCACTGTGCTGTGAGGAAAGCCTGATGAAGTGTGGGTCTGGGGCACCCAGAGCCATACGGTAGCAGCGGAACATGTGGGCAGGGGTCCCTCTGAGCCCCACGGACTCCACTGTCAGGCGATGGAGGAGGGACAGGCATCCATCCTCGCAGCCATCTGGGGACACCCCCGGGCACGGTTCCCATCCAGAAAGGGGATGGACCCAAAGACCTCAGATATCGCCTTACATCCCCCAGCTGCACTGGCCGGTGAGGATTCAGCCATGGGACATCCTGATGGCTGGTCCAGCCAACGAACGCCTGCAGATGCCCTCTGGCACCCACCAGCAACGGCCCAGTGCTGGCTGCAAGGGGAGGAGAGGCTCCCCGCTGGCTGCTGCCTGCCTGCTTTCTTCTGCTCTTTCACCTTCACGTGTCCCTGCCTCCTCCTTCTGCCACCACAGTCAATCTGTCCTCACTTGGCTCCAAAAATAACCCCTCGGAAGAGGACAACAGTTCCCAAGCGGCACTGGCGCGCTGAGGCTCTGGCTGATGCTCCCTCAGCCTGGAGGAGGAGATGCTCCCAAATCTCCTGGATCAACCAGAAAGACACAACCCCGTCTCGGTGACCTCAGGCCATCGGCGCACGGCTGAGCAACCATTCCTCCGTCTCTCCATCCTGCGATGCCCCAGCTCCCCCTCTCCCCAGCACGGGATGCTCCCGCTGGAGATCTGCTGCCTTAATTACCAGAGGCACCGCCTGGGCTTTACCGGGGGTTCCCACAACCGCTTCTCCTGCAAAGTCCTACACAAAGAGATACAACCGGCGGCGAAGGCAGAGCACCCTCCCTCCCTCTCCAAGCTGGCTTTGGGCTCGGAGATGCAGCTTTTGTCCCCAGCCACTTCTCTGGGGTGTTTCCATCCCAGGGACCCTGCCAGAAGGTTCCACCCAAGGAAGGGTGTTGCCTGCACATCGCTGCCTACGTGGGAATCCGCCGACCTGTGACGCCCGGGGTGTCCGACACACGCTCTCCAAGAAGGACTCGGCCGAACTGGCCCCGGGGAAGGAGGGATCCCTCAGCCGAGCGTGGGTGTGAAGGCAGGACAGACGGATCACGGACTGATTCGCACCGTTTTGAGCCCAGGGAGGGCTCGCTGCTCCCACTGTGTCGTTCCAGCGGGATCCCTGGCAGTTCAGAGCTCTCCATGGCCGTGCCAGGTGGGATGGAGCCAGGGTGGGAACGCAGATCACCCTGGAGAGGCGTCGAGGCCATTTCTCTGCTGTTTGAGCAGAGAAAAAACCCCAGAGCCCTCCCCGGGGTGGCGGGGGTCCCGGCCCAGCAGGAAAACATCTCACACCCTGCGGCATCCCCAAGGGACATCCCCGGCTTTCCCACCACCACTGGCTACCCCACGCACTCATTTATCTCCTGACGAGCTTGCCCGGGGAGGACAGCAGCTGACTGCTTAATTACAAGGCTTTTTTTTTTTTTTTTTTCCCTTTTTTTTTTTTTTCTCCCCATTATTATGGCGCAGAGAGGAGCCAGCAGCCTTTATTTCCACAGGACCACGGAGGAGCGGGGCAGCAGGAGATGCTGCCGGTGGAGCAGGAGCCGGTGGGAGCTCTGCACCCCTTGGATGCTCGGTCCTGTTAGAGGAACCGGAGGGTCCCTCGGTCCCCCCTTTGTCCCCCCCTTGCCTGCAGCAGGCAGGGCAGCACCCACATTTCGAGCCCCATGACATCCCGCAGCAAGGAGCTGCCCTGACCCCAACCCCCTCCCACGTCCCGGGGCAGCCCCAGGGCACACAGACGGGAGAGATGCTGCAGAAAACCCTGGTTTGGGGGTGGGGGGGGGGGCCCCTTCCTCTTTATCCTATCAGGGCATGAAGCCAAAAACTGGGAAGGAAATTTGGCAATGGGGGGGGAAGCTCCCCACTGGGAAACCTTCACCCACCGAGGGGTTCAGGGAAGGAGAGGGGGAAGGAGAGGATGCTTTCCACAGCAGCTTCTGCTTGCTTTTCCCCAGCGGGAATTAATTTTATCCTGAGCCTGGCAGCGGATAAATTCATTGCTGTGAAACCTTGAGAGCGTGCGGGATATACAGCCGGGCAGGCAGAGGAAGGAGTGTGTGAGATAAACCAGCAGCCGGATGGGTACCTGCGGGTAAGGGCTGTGTGGTGGGGGAGCCGCGCAGATCCCGCCGGGAAACGCTCCCCATCTCCCTAAAAAGGATGCGGTTGGAGCTACCTCCCTTGCACCCGGTGGTGGAGCAAGTTGGAGGCAGCCTGGGGATGACCACGGCGCTGTGTCCCGGTGTCCCCTCAGCGGTGAGCAATATCCACCGTGAGAGCTGACACCAGCCACTCCGCTGCAGCGGAGCAGGAAAACAAAGGAAGGGAAAAACCATCCGCAAACCCCCTCCGGCTATCAATAGCAGAGCCGGGCCACGGGCAAAAGCCCTGGGTGGAAAACGGATCTAGTCCTACATCTCTGGTGACAATGGGGACAAGGCACTGGGGCAGAAGGAGCCCCTGAGCCCCAAGCTGGGTCTGTGCCCTCCACCTCCCCAAAGGAGACCCCCAGTGGCGCCCTGCATGGGAGCAGACCTGCACCCACAAGGGATGGGGACAGGAGGTGGACGTCACCACTACAACCTCCATCCATCTGCCACCACGCGGGGACCGCCTGGCTCTGCCTGCTCATGCCGGCACCAAACCTGGCACCAAACCCATCAGCGAAGGCAGCACGGCCCTGCAGCGGCTTCCTGCCTGCCTCGGCGCTACCCCCGATAATAAAGATGATGGTTAAATATTTCATTATCTGCAGTAATTACCCACCAATCATCAAGCACTGGCAGCCCGCTGCCCGGCCGCCTCGCCGAGAGGGAGAAGAGGCGTCTTGGGGCGAGCACTGCGCCATGTCCCCACAGACCCCTAAAGGCTGCAGGATGTGGCTGGGGACAGTTGCTGGCATCCGTCCCCACCACCCAAATCCCCATAGTGCTACCCAGGAGGGCTCAACACACACACCCCCCCGGCCCCCAGCACCACGGGCTGGAGCTCCTGGGGTAACTCCCAAGCAAATCCCTCTCTTTCTATTCAACCACGTGTTTTGGGCTCCCGATCTTCCTCGCTGGCACTCCACATGCCACCTTGGGGCTGGGGGAGGTCAAAACAGCTTTTCAGCTCGCAGGCGCTTTGTGCTGCCTGGATTAGAGCTTTTGGAAATGTTCAGAGCTGCCCCATTCCCACCCTCCATCCTCATCCCCCATCCCCATCTTCATTCTCATCCCCATCCTTCATATCCATCCTTCATACGTATAGCCATCATCCATCTCCAACCTCCATCCTCATCCCCATCCTCCACGTCCAACCTCCATCCTCATCCCCATCCTCCATCTCCAACCTCCATCCTCATCCCCATCCTCCATCTCCAACCTCCATCCTCCATCTCCAACCTCCATCCTCATCCCCATCCTCATCCCCATCCTCCATCTCCATCCTCCATCCCCATCCCACCGCTTACCCCATGCAGAGGGGAGGACCCAGGCACCAGCTTTGCCAGCCCGGTGGAGGCCAGGACAGACAGAAGGACAGACACACCGCGCTGTGCCCCTGACACACAGCCAGGACAGGCGCCACCAGCTTGGAGTGCAAGGACCAACATCACCATCCTGCTGGGCTTTGGGGCTGCTGCTTTCCAGCCAAGCTCTGCACCGAGCTCTCTCCCTGCAGGTTGGGACCCACCGGCACCTGGTGGGGTGGCCCCAGGACACAACCGTCCCTGTGTCCCAGCCCTGAGGATGTCCAGCCTGGACATCGAAGGGAAGCTCAGGGGTTTGGAAGCTCCCACCAAAAGGGAAAGAAAAAAACAAGGAAAATGAGCAAAAGAAGTGGTATTTCACCAAACTGCTTTTGCCTTTTTATTTTCCAGCCCAGAAACAACCCCCTTCCCGGCTGACTCAAATCCCGCCGCGGGCACCTCTCGGCTCCCCGGCCATGCCTGCGGCACCCCGGGGCACGGGGCTGTGCTGGAGGCAGCTGCCCGTCACTCCT